GGTGTGTGGGGGGGCGGTGGTGTCTCTGCCCTGCCGTGAGCGCAAAGCTAACCGTGCGCGTGTGTGTGTGTGTCTGTCTCTTTCCATACCGGGGGATCGCACTCCTAAAATACACCCGATACAATGCACCAGCCTGACTCAGCCGCAGACATTAGTGCTAGGAAGATGGCGCACCCGGCGATGTTTCCTAGAAGGGGCAGCAGCAGTAGCAGCAGCTGCGTTACTGCTCCCACTGCACCAGGTACCGGCGTTGGGAGCGCTGCCCTCTCCGCCGAGGATTATCAGCCGCCTTTGCTGGTCCAGCCGCCGCCTCCGTCTCCTGCAGCATCTTCGTCAGCGGGTCCACAGGCGACACCCCCTCCTCCACAAAGCCTGAACCTCCTCTCGCAGTCTCCGCTCCAGCCACAGCCTCTCGCGCAGACCGGAGCCCAGATGAAAAAGAAAAGTGGCTTCCAAATTACCAGTGTGACCCCTGCTCAGATATCGGCTAGTATGAGCTCTAATAACAGCATAGCTGAGGATACAGAAAGCTACGATGACCTGGATGAGTCCCACACTGAAGACCTGTCGTCTTCAGAAATCTTGGATGTTTCTTTATCCAGGGCCACTGACTTGGGAGAACCCGAGAGGAGCTCCTCTGAAGAGACTTTAAATAACTTCCAAGAGGCAGAGACTCCTGGGGCTGTTTCGCCAAACCAGCCTCACCTGCCTCAGCAGCACGCTCCTCTGCCTCATCACCCGCAGCAGAGTGTTGTGATCAATGGAAGTGTTCACCCCCATCACGTTCATCACCACCACCACCTTCACCACCACCATCATGGACACCATCATCCATCGCATCCCAGCGTGGGCAGTGCCCCAATTTCTGGAGGACCACCGCCCAGTCCATCCTTTAGAAAACTGTCAACAACTGGAAGCTCTGACAATGTTATATCAACCGCACCAGTTTCTGCTGCATCATCCGCTGGTTCCCCGGCACCTGTCGTGTCCAATATCCGCACTACAAGTACTCCTGGCAATTTAGGTGTAAGTGCTGCTACTGGAACTAGTACCTTAAATAATATGGGTGGTGGTAGTTCTGGTGTGGCGAGCGGTGTGCTTGGTACTATCAATTTAAGCAACATCACGAGTACTGGTAATGTAAATGCTTTGTCTGGAACTAGCAGCAATGTTAATGTGAATATCTTGAGTGGTGTTGGCAATGGTACGAGTGCTTCCTCTAGTGTCATTAACAATGTTACTAATCCAACTGCAGGCATGGCAGTGGGATCGAGCCAGCAACAGCCTGCATCTGGCACATCGAGGTTTAGGGTTGTAAAATTAGATTCTAGTTCTGAACCTTTCAAAAAAGGTAGATGGACATGCACTGAATTCTATGATAAGGAAAACACTGTTGCGGTTTCAGAAGGAGTAGCAGTAAACAAAGCAGTAGAGACGATAAAACAAAACCCTCTTGAAGTGACTTCTGAAAGGGAGAGCACCAGTGGGAGTTCTGTTAGCAGCAATGTAAGCACACTGAGTCACTATACAGAAAGTGTGGGAAGTGGAGAAATGGGAGCACCTACTGTGGTACAGCAGCAAGCGTTTCAAGGTGTGGGTCCGCAGCAGATGGATTTTAGCAGCGCTGCTCCTCCGGCAATTCCAGCATCTAGTATACCACAGAGTGTTTCTCAATCACAGCTTGCACAAGTCCAGCTGCATTCTCAAGAAGTAAACTATCCACAGCAGAAGCCAGGGGTCCAGCCTCCTGCACAGGCCAGTCTAACCACTGTTACTGGGGTTCAGCCAGCCCCAGTTAATATACTAGGTGTATCCCCATCTCTGGGCCACCAGCAGCCTGCCATTCAGAGTATGGCTCCACAGCAGCTACCCTATTCTCAGCCGGCGCAGCCTGTGCAGACTTTGCCGGTGGTGCAGCAGCAGCAGTTGCAGTATGGACAACAGCAGCAACAACAGCAGCAGCAGCAGCAACAGGCAGTTCCTGCGCAGATGGCCGCAGGTCACGTTAAGCCGGTGAACCAAAACTCTGTTACGGGGGCTATGCCAGACTACATTCAACATCAGCAGATCCTTCAGACTCCAGCCCCTGCCATGCAGCCTAGTTCTACAGGAGTAGGAGCGGGGCAACCGGTTCCCGTTGCCCAGGCACAGAGCATGCAGCCGTCGGTGCAAGCACATCCAGCCGCTGCCCCAGCTCAGCCTGTCGCGCATGCTCCGGCAGCGATACCGGGTGTAGGTGCCAGTGGTCAAATGCTGAATGTTGGGCAGCAGGGAAGTGTAGCCTCTGTGGTGCAACCACCATCTGCTGGGAACCAAATTCCACCTCCGGTTATGCCGTCAACGGCTGCTCCTCCACCTTCACAAGTAGTGCAGCCTGTGCAGACAGGAATAATGCAGCAGGGATTACAGGCTAGCGCTTCAGGCCTTCCTCAGCAAATGGTCATTGCTCAGCAAAACACCCTGTTACCTGTACAGCCGCAGGCACAAGGAATGGAATCTGTAGTCCAAGGGATGACTGGCCAGCAACTGCCTGCGGTTAGCCCTATTCCTTCTGCTAGTACTGTTCCTGCACCAAGTCAGGCTGGGTCAGCTGTGCCTCCTGGCATACCTTCCGCTTCCATAGGCTTGGGACAGCCGCCGAACATGGCGCAAGCTTCGGCTGTGCAGAATGGGAGTTTGGCTCAGAGTGTTAGTCAGCCTCCCTTGATATCGACAAGTATAGGTATGCCAGTGGCACAGAGTGTGCCACAGCAGATACCGCTAAGCTCTACCCAGTTCCCCGCACAATCACTAGCTCAGTCAGTTGTAAGCCAAACTGAAGATGGCAGACGCCCTACAGAGCCTTCCTTAGTGGGTTTACCTCAAGCTGCCAGTGGCGAGAGCGGTGTTGGAGCATCGGCCGTTTCAGATGGCGGTAGCAGCAACGTGCCATCCTCTGCTTCCCTCTTCCCGCTGAAGGTGCTGCCGTTGACGACGCCCCTTGTAGATGGTGAGGACGAGAGGTAAGACTGCCTGTAACTTTATTGGAAGATACACTGTCTTACAGCTTGATTTACACTAACTTGCAGGTCTCGTTACAGCCGTTCTGTGAAACGAAGCAGTGTGATGTTTTTGTTTAATTAGAAATATTATTTCTCCGGTCCCGGCGCATGTAGGTATTCTGATAAAAGGCTTGTTTTTTATCTTGAGGGGGTGGGTTGTATTGATTATGCTCTGAAACTACTGCGTGGGTGAATTGTGTTTTAACAATCTCTGACAGTGTGTGTATTCCCGTTGTATGGAGGAAGACAAAAGAATACCGTGGCATGTGGGTATGCTGGTGGTGATTGTAGTTTAGATTATTTATTATACTGAAATAATTAATATTTATTCCTAAGTAGATTCTTCTTTTTTTCCATCACGAGCCTAGGCTTCATCCTGCCTCAGCGTCTCTTTTTCAAGTATTGGCTTTACTCAGGTTGAGGACCAGTTGTGAGTCTGTGGTGTACGTAGAAGCCTCCTCTTTGACAGCCGAGAGACTCTTTAAGCAAATGAGTACAGTGGGAAAAGGGAGGTTCAGCAACACCTTTGTGGCTCTTTAAATTGAACTTGGGGCACTTCTGGTCTTGGTGGTTTCACTTCAAAGCATTAATCCATTGCGGGAGCGGCTCAGGCCTGCGCAGGGGTGGTGAGCCTTTGACTCTGGTGCAGTGAGAGTAAGAAACTGCATGTGTCCTCCCACCTTCACCTTGTCAGATAAATGACCGCTGGCTGGCCTTAGTAGTATGTGTGTGTGAATATTCTCATTTCTTTGTGTATGCGGAGAAGCTGTGTAAGTTGTGAAAGACCCTTGTGTGCACAGGCTGAAGCGATCCGAACAGGAGTTTTAAAGTGCAGTTGGTACTAACTACGTGAGGTAATTCCTTACAGTGTTGAGGACCACTGGTGATACGCGTTTACAAGTGGACGGGAAGACTCTGGTGGTTCTCCCAAAAACCTCTTGTCTAAGGAGCTGCGTTAAGGGGAGAAGTAACTTGAAGATAAATAACCTGCCTTGAGAATGTAGGAGAAGAGAGAAAACACTAGAAAAGAAAATCTGGGACTTGGGTGAGGAGACAAAATGAAGCACTGAACAATTACAGGGTGGGAAACATGCCGTGGCAATGGGAGTTGAAGTACTTCTTGGTGCTATAACTTCAATCACGAGTAGTATCAGGGGCCAAACTTTGTTAAAAAAAATAATTAATAAAACAGGTTGCTGGGAGAGGCTGGATTCTTTCTTGGTATTGAAAATACTAACTCTATCAGCAGTCTCTGATTATGTTGATCATGAGGTGTTGACTGCCTTTAGTGGCTTTCATCACATCTTTCTAAGATGCCAGAGAGCTGTAATGAGTAGCAGCTTGTCTTCTAGCACTCCTGGAAGGCAAGTTCCAACACTGTTTCATTCTATGTTTTTTAGTCAATAAGTCCGTGAAGGTGGTAGAAGGCAGATTGAGGTGTTAAGGCCCACAGTGTCACCACTGTACTACTAGCATAATTTTTTTAGAAACCTGTTGTTTTTTTGTTTTCTTTGATCTTCCTACACCAGGACACTACTCCTTCTCTTCGCGGGTCCTGTTTGTTTTTGGTGTGTGGGTTTGCTTGTTTCCTTTGTGGTGTGTTGTGTTTGGTTTTTTTTTTTCCCTTCAACCAACCAACCAAAAAAGCCCCTTAAGATTTCAGGGGATCCTAGCTGGGTAAAGGAATCATAAACTCATTGATACTCGGTGTTTTGGAAAATGACGTCTGTCCTGCGACTCCCCTGATTTTAAGAGCATATGTTAGCTGTTTGTCATGATTGGTAGTTTTTCCAGAATGTTTAAATCCCTCAGGGTAACAATAGCCAGAAATACCTTCTTCCTCTGCAATTTGGCTAGCCAAAGATCATATCCTTTCTTCTGCCATGCACGTTGTGTCTTTGTTCAATCTGTCATCTCCAGGTAGACTACACTTTTGTTTAGCTGCAGTTGGAAAATCATTTAGGTTCTTTACACAGAGCAGGATATGACTCTCTTAAATGGAGACCAAAAATAATTGTGGGTTTTTTTTTTTGCATGGCAGCAGTGGTCAGGTCACTTTTGTAGACAATTAGGTAATTTACTGCAGCACCTCTCCCTGTATATCTGCCTGTAACATTAAAACCTTAGTGAGATTGCTTCTGTTTCCGCTTCCAGGGGATCTCAGGGCAAGGTGGTATTTGTAATGTCATCTGGACTGGAATTTCTTTTGGTCTGGATCTTAGCCCTCGTCGTGCGCTACAGGTGGTGCAAGATACGCTGTTATCCAGCTTGGCTGCCTGCTTCTCGGGCCATCAGGTGTCTCTAACTGGAGTTCTCTTCAGAGCTTTTTTTGCCTGTTAGATTATTCCCTATGGTAAAAGTACATAAATATTTAAGAAGCAGGTATACTGTAAATATGTGTGTATAAAATCGCTATTTCTCTCTCTCATGTGCACACACGTATATCACTGTAGATTTATATCAATACATCCCCAGTGATTTTAAACCTGGCAAGGGAAAAGGTAGGAGAAAGTAGTATGTGATGACATAATTGGGCCAGTGAAGAAGCTGTAAAATTCCATTTAGTGTGCCTTTGAAAAAACATCTGACCCATGTAATACCTTGTTTAGATTAACTCCAGCCTTCCTTAAACCTGTATATAATTGCGTTTAAAGACATGCCAGTGTCTTTAAGTCTTTAGACCTGTTCAGTTTTTAGAACACCATTTGCAGCTTGTTCTATGCCAGTTGTCAGGACACAGCCTTTGAATTATGGGCAGTGTGGAGTGTATCTGCTTTGAAAACTTCTATTTCACTCATGTGAAGGAATTTTTGGTTTTAAATCTTAATTTTTAATATCTCACATTTCAAGTAATAGTGAACTGCTTGGCAGCATGTATGGAAAAATAATTTGTAAAATTTATTAGAGGGGATACAAATAATACTGTTACAGTTTCTGTATTTTAAAAAAAAAAAAAAACAAAGAAAAAACCCCAGCCAACAAAAAACTCTGAAAAACCAACAACAAAACAAAACATCCCCTCCCTCCCCCCAAGAAAGGCAAAACAACAAAAACCCTCAACAAAACCCACTCCTAATACTTCTGACTAGTCTTTCTTCAGCTGGTTGGGTATGCCCTAGGTGTTTGTATGTTGGTAGAATCATCATCTTTTCTAACATTTCAATCTACAAAAATGCAGGCTAGTTTTTTGGATGCTAAGAATCTAATTTTTTTCCTTAGCTTGAAATATGGTATGGACTTGTTTGAGTGCGTGATTCTCATATGGTTTCTTGGATTTGCAGCAGTCGGCTTGGTTTGTTCAGTTATTAAATCGTGTCAGTTTTAGACATGGTCTTTGGAGCTTAGTATTTCATCTCTAGAACTGTAGAAGAGGTTTTGTTTATGCTTTTGAAACTTAAGTGTGGAAAAAGACATATTTATATTGCAGTGACTTTCGTGTATTTACACTTAATGTTGCAAAATCAGTTTTACATCTTCCTAGTCAGTGCTTTATTATGCTATAAATACTTCCAATAAGATTTTGTACAGACTTCTGTAATTCTTAAATTACCTGCAAAACGAAAACTTAAAAAATCAGTGTGTTTTATAACATTTTTAAAGGCTGCTGTAAGTGAATTTAAAAATAACTTCATCTGAAATGTTGTTTACCGTTACTCAAAAGTAGATTTTTGTGAATGGAGGATAAGAGAACTAATAACTGTCTCCCTGTCCTTGACACCTTTTCCTCTGGAGTTGCTTTCGTTCTTTAGTCGGATGCAAGTTGCTTTCACCTGTTTTCATCCAGCACTGGAGCAAAAGAGAAAGGAGGAAAGGGTGGTGATAAACACATGAACCTGGCACAGATATTTGAAGTGTTACTTGTTATCTGACAATCTCTCTTCATTTTCTTTTTGAAGAGAAATTTTTGTTAAAGGATCCCTTTACAGCTGGTCAGAGGATGAAAAGCGGAGGAAGTGTTTTCTGTATAGGATGTATGTTTTGGCTTGTTATGAAGTGTGGGGCTGGAAGATTAAAGCTGAGTGTGAGGATTGAAAGTACTTGTGAACAGCCCTTGGGTCTGTCTAGCCGTAGTAACTAGTACTAGTTTGTAAAGTAGGAGCATGAACAGGAAATTGGATGAATTTTCATACTGCATGCAAGTATGTGGTAGGGAAGTTGATCAGGGACAAATGAGACTTTTACAGATGTAATTGAATACTTGCTGAAGCTGTTAGTAAGCAGTAGCAAGTGAACATATTAAAATAGAACTGGAAGCTTCAATTAAACATCATTTTTGATACAGTAACAATTTTGCATACTTAGCTTCATTCTGTAAACTGTTTGAGAGTCTACATGGGCTTTTTTATTTTCTGTAGATTTTGCATTTGTATATTGGAAAAAGGGAGAGAATACTTTTAGAAGATACTTCACAACCAAGTATGGTGGCTTAGCATAGATTTATGGTGGTATATTTTTTTTTTTTTAGTTACAACCCAGGGGCACTGTTGTTCTCAATATTTTAAACTTGCCTGAGTCTTGCCACCAGTTTGAAAATTGCATAACTCGAATTCTAGATTAACTCTTTAAAAAAAGTATCTTCATATCTTCAATTTGGCTGTTCATGGAACTTGAAAAAAATACGTGCCACCAGTAATGGCAAATCACTTGAGTATAAAGAGAGTGCTTTGGAGAAGAAAATGTGGTTGCTGTAGTGTCACGTCACCCAAGTCCAGCTTCTCATTCGTCTGATGAAATCAAATACCTATCGTTGACGGATTCGACTTTGTTAGCTCTCCGCTCTAACTGAAGAACAGGGAGGAATTGAGGGTCTGCACCTCGATCTGCTGGCCAGCTGTAGGTAGCAATACCTGTTTTGGATGCACCTTTTCCTGGTGTCTTTTTATAGATGCATTTTCTACATGCCATGATAGGCTTTGAACTAAGGATGGCTACGGTGATGTGTTGTCTTCAAAGACAGGAAGAACC